GAAACTTTCCGATCGCACCTCGTATATGGTGGGTGTTATTTAAACATAGGAATATCATTTCAATGTATGATTTATTCATTAACTCTTCTCTGTTAATCTTCTTATTCACAAAAAAAAATGCTGGATTAATTTGCAATCCAGTTTATATACTCTCTGCTGTTGTCACTATCATCACCACTAAAATGCTTGAACATAAATTTTAAACAATTTTCTTTCTGTGGTACCTAAAAGAAAAGATTTGCAATCCAGTTTATGTACTCTCTGCTGTTGTCACTATTATCACCACTAAAATGCTTGAACATAAAGTTTAAACAGTTTTCTTTCTGTGGTACCTAAAAGAAAAATCTCTTATCGCTGCTGGAAATGGAACCTCAGTCATCCAGCCTGTACCCTAGTCGCTGCACTTTCCGAGCCACCTGACATAAGTAAAGACCTAATTGTATAAAATTGAGCTTTCATTTGTTGCGTGGGGGAGATGAGAAATTCATGCAACTGTGATTGGGAAGCCTAAATGGAAGAGTCCAGTCTGAATACCTAGGCATTGATGGAAGGATAATATTAAAATGGTTATGAGGGGATAAGAGTTTGAGGGTGTGGATTAAATTTATATAACTAAGGATAGAGACTGATGGCAGGTTGTGAACACAGTAATGACCATTCAGGTTGTATAAAAGATGGAAATTTTCTTAATTGGGTGAACATGCTATTAGCTTACTAAGAAGGACTGTGCCCCATGGAGTTAGTTATGTTGCATACTGTAAAGAAGTTAAGTTTATATAAGTAATATGAAGCTCATTGACTTTTTTGCACTTTTATCATAGCTTTCACCAGTTTAACTGAAAAAAAATTGAATTATAACATGAAAGCTAGCGAAAGATTATTTTGGTCCAGTTCGTATAATATTTGAAAAGTATTATTCATTAACAGAGGCAATAAAATTTCTGTTCTGATATAAATATATGTCATACTTTTAAATGTTGTTTGTTTGTAGATAAGGTGATGAACATTCTGTGGAATGTGTACCACTACTACTATCAGTTCTCTGCGGCTGTTGCAGCATTAATTAGAGATTTGAGGTCTCCTATTGAAAAGAAATTGAAAGATTGTGTCAAGATTTTTCGTTGGGATGACATCAGTCACTGGGCCGTTAAGGAAGCCATAAAGAAAGTTCACAAGACACTTCACAAACACATCAAAGAGTTTAGGGTACGTATAAGGTCATACTTATCACCACCATCCTGTGTCTCAGGATGTTATTAATCCAAATTGTACTGCCATATTACAGAGCTGCTTGCCAGACTTTTGAAACTGGGGTATGCTACTGCCAGATGTAAGCTTTGGTGCATGGTCAATATAGGTCAAAAATAGATTATCTTGATATAATTATTTACATTAATTTTTTTTATTTATTTATTTAGTGTTCTGTCTGACGACAGGTCCATATGAACAGGATCCTTCCATCCTTTTCTCGGACTGGGACCTGATCATATACGTTCTTGGCAGATGATCCAGAAGTGGTTTGCCATTGCCTTCTTCTGTGTGTGAATGGAGTAATTGTTGGGATGCCACGTAGAAACCGGGGAAGCCCCCGGATTTAACCTCCGTGTTGCCTAAATTATAAAATTAAAATGTTTATGCCTGCCTTTTAAGTTGTTTATTTGTTTTCTTAAAATTCTTAATTTTTCTACATAACTTTATCACGGCCAAGATATAGACGTAGGTCTCATACAAGTGAACTGAAATTAAAACTAAGAAAGACTTTTTTCAGTTTGTGTATTTGATTTCCCTCTCTCTCTCTTTTTTGTTTGTTTGGGATCGTACCTCCCATACTTTATAAACATTTGGGCACATTTAGTTATGTAAATACCCTTTGAAAGGGACAATTTGGAAGATTGATACCTAGCAGAGGAAAGAAATATAAAAATGGATAAGAAGGAAATTGCCTGTTCTGAAGGGTTTTGAAGATGGTGTAACACAATTTGGATTTTTAGACCTTGTCCGCTGGCTGATGTTATAAAATTACACAACATTTCGAGGGCTGGATCTGTTCTCGTCTTTGTGTGCGATGAAGGGGCGGGCACCTACTCTGTGGGGCCTGTTAGAATGAGCTAATCTCAATCACTGGACAACCTAGGTCAGAAAAGCTGATATCGGGTTATGTCGACAGAAGCTTCACAATAAAATTATAAGAAGGCACGTGAATGTCGAGACTAAGGCAAACGTGTAATTGGCCTGTTTGTTGAACCTGCTGAGGAATTGGTTTTTGTTTCTGCAGTGCATGTGCTGTACCTTCTGATTAAAAATTATTACAGTGTTCATTTGATACCTATAGCCAACAAATAATAATTTAAATGTTTGAAGAATTTTATGTTGTTATGGTTTGGTGAAGCTGCGAGAACTTTGACCTGTAGCTTGCTGCAAAATGGCTTTCATTTCGCAAAATTTATCTGTTTTTGTTGTAGGAAATCCTGAATCAACCAGTAATAGAGTCCTTAAAAAATCCAACATCTGAAACAGGAGATGTGAACTTAGGAATATGGGATCGACCACAGCGCCATCAACCAAGGACTTACCAAAGCTTGTTTGAACCTCTGCATTTCATATCAGACAAAAGACTTAAGGTAAAGTTTGATGTATTAATTTTATTAAAGTCTGTTGTTATGGCATCTTGTTACCAACATATAAAATAACTTGTGGTAAGACCTCTGTTATTACCAGTTTTATAATAATAATAATAATAATGCAGGATTTATTGTAAATAAAACACTACAATATACATTTTTATAGTCAAATGGAAAGAAATTCAAGATTTAAATTTTAAAACTTATTGTTATTTGTGTGAAGGAACCCTCCATTCTTCCTTGTTTATGAAACTCAATCTCAAATTGCAGCGTTTTCAGAGAATTACAAAATTTATTGTCATCTTACCACAGACACAAGGTTCAGAGAGCAGCCAGTTTATTCTAAAAAAAACCTCTGGTCCATATGTAATCAGTATTGAAAACAAGCATTTAAATTATTGGACTTGATTTAAGACAAGTAAATCAACTTACTCTACATATATATTATTTAAATCTTGTCCGTCTAATCACAATAAATTCTTATTAAATATTAAAATATTACAATAATTAACATTTAAAATATTAAATGATGTTCTTTATCGAAATATTCGATTTACATTAGACCATCATTTTTCACGACATGTTTCAGTTCCTAAAAGAACTATCTTCAGGTGTATATAATTATATAAAGATTCAAATCAATAATAACTTGAATACAATTTCTATATATTATTTTAGCGTACATTTTTATCAGATGTTTATCAGATATCAAGTATTTTTGTGTGTTTGATTTTATGAAGGAAAGAGTATTCAAAATGGTACCCTGTAAAAATTTAGTTAATTCACCTTACCTTGCTCAACATTTTTGTCTAGTTAGTATTTTGTTTATTTATTTCTCCTCGAGCAAAATCTTTTAACAGTTTGTCATCTTGTGAAATTATTTAAATATTTCTGTGATCCAGTTTAGTTTTGTAGCTGCAATAAAACTGCCACTTTCATGTTTTTATATTATATTTGGATGCAACCAGTACATCTTTTTTGGTATTCTTAGTTTTATTCAGTGTTCTTCTCAGCAGCTATTAAACCAATATATCCTCCCCATCTGATAGCCTCTCAAATACTGAAACATTGTATATCGTAGAATGAATTGCCTGCAGTGTGTGTGAGGCCCCTATTGTGTCATATTTATCATATTTCATCTCAACGAAATCATCATCATACTGCAAGCAGAGTTCCGTGCAAGAGCGGCAGTTGATTTATTTGAAGACAATGGAAAGAATTATTTAACTAAGAGTTATGTTATTCGCATGTTACTGTTGGCATTATTAGATCAATTAAAGTATGGTTGTAAAGGGACACGCCGTTGAAAGTGGAAATAAGGAAACCATAACAAGTTGCAAGATCAGTACTAAAGTGAATCTAAAAGAAATGGAGTCTAAGGATATGACCTGTAGTGGGTCAGGTTTTTAATTCAGTGAAGACTACTGTGTTGATGTTGATTGTGGACTTCTTGGTTGTGATACCCAAAAACTTATGGAGGTTACAGACATTTCACAGGAACTTGTAAGACTTGAGGTTCTCACAGCGGTGAGTATGAAGATATCCGTCTTCTGGGTTGTTGCGCTGTGTAGTCTGGTCGATGTTAACCAAGGATGACCTAGGACTGAAGACGCCTGGCATATACAGCGTTCCCTGCGAGTGCGGTAAAGTCTACATCGGCCAGACAGGCCGTTCCGTTGAGGCCAGGATCAAGGAGCACGAACGCCACATCCGGCTCGGGCAGCCCGAGAAATCTGCAGTTGCTGAACACCGCTTCAACATGGAACACCATATACAGCTCGAGGACACTTCTATCCTCTCCTCAAAAACCGGCTACATGGATCGGATAATCAGGGAAGCCATCGAGATCGAACTACATCCCGATAACTTTAACAGGGAAGATGGACTTCACCTGAGCCGGTCCTGGAAGCCTCTTATTCACACACTTCGAGGACTCCGAGAGCTAGCAAGAGTGCGCCGCCAGAACCAACCAGACCACTAACATGGCCCTTTTCAGGGCCCTGATCCATACAACCAACTCACCTTTCTCTCTCTACTTTCTCTCCCTCTCCCACTCTCGCCCACGTGCTACCATTGGTCCACTCCCAT